AAAAAACTATATGGGTACTCCCACTTTAAAAAAATTTTGAAAATTAAAAAAAAAGTTACCTTCAACTAAATTCCTTTCTTGCAATAATAACGATATTATATAATATGAACAAGATGTGCAATAACTCACAAAAATATTTAAGGACGATTTCTTTGAGAAATATTTTGACTTTGATTCTGCGTTCGATCAATTTTTCAAGATTGCATATTTCAGAGACCAAAGTTTTGCTAAGGTTTGCATATTATGTTAGTCTTGACTTTGAACGTAGTCACTGATGAAAGACTAAAGGAAATTAAATGAAATATGTTATAGTGGAATTTTCATCGTTACAAAGGAGATCCAAAAAATTCGTGATATTTGAAATTTTGACGAATTCAAAATGACTCCAATTTTTTTTAATTAAACATATGTGAACGTGAATATCAATTATGAAAGTATTCAAACATTTATTTAGACAATATTTACAAGAACTTAGAGGAGTTTTTAAATATTTTTTTTGACTTATAGGAATTTTTCATGAATATCACGTAAAACATTTTGACTTTTTGTTAATATTGTAGTGGAATTTAACAAATAATCATCATTATTAAACAAATCTAAAGATATTTTATGCAAGTGTATATTTCGCAAGAAATATATTTTATAGAAACGAAATAAACGATTGTTTCATATAATGACAAATAATTAAATTATTAATATAAATTATATTATAATTAATAATTAAATAAACTAAACGCGCGTAAAACGTCCTTTATAATCAAAACGTTCCAATAAACAAACATTTCTTTAATATTTCATTACATTTAAAAAATACAATATTTATTTATGGAAGCTTACTTTAATTCATTTTAACGCTCTCTCTGCTTAAAAACACATCCGATACACCAAGAAATTCATTGGAGAAAAAAGAAAGATGTGATAAACCGATGGTAACACCGAGTTAGCGAATTTCTGTCATTAGACGATTCAAACAATCGAACTAAGGATAGACGTTGTCCAAATAAAATATCAATAAATCTGAAATAATTTGACCCATTAAAATTTTTTAATTAAGTATTTACAAATATATATTATTTGATCAATATCGAAATCTTAGACTATCTGCGTCACTAATAATGATAATTGAATATTTTTAGAAAATGCTCTTAGATGCTACCACGTAAAAGTTCTGGATATTTCTTCCTAGTTACGTATTTATTTCGCGTTCTTTAATCGTAAACTGATATCGTTAAGTAACATATGAATGACAAGTAAATTACTTAATTTTAGAGTACTTC